CATTACTTGATATACAAACTCATGATGAATACAAGTGAGAGGAGATGAAAATGATATCTGAGTATTATTCAGTGATTGCATGAGTAATCTTTCATTTGGTAATACTAATTGTATTTCATAAACTGGTTTGTTTGTTTGACTATTAAAAGATGTGAATTGTTGATGTAACATTGTCTGTAATCTTTGTGCAATTATACAAACTGTTTCAACATTGAATAAATCAAGTGAAGCATCGATGGTGCATGAGAATTCATTTAGATTCAGATCATGTTGAAAACTAAGAATAAAATCAAATTTACTCATTATTTCATCTTCACTAATCTTAATTGAAGAAGGTAGTAAAGAAAGTCGACTATCACCAAGCTTTATTTCATTCTCTTCATCTGTTATCATCGATGATATGAATTCAAATGATGTATCAAGAAATACAGGATTTGATATATTCGAATGTTGATTGAGAATACGTTGAAGTGGAAAATATGAATATTTCATACAGTTTATCATAATATCTCGAACTTGCTTAGTGATTTTATCAAATGATAAATAAGGATCGAGTTGACATCGCAAAGGTATAGCATTCACAAACATTCCAATGACAGATCTAAGTTCATCTCTATATCGACCATGTGTATTTATTCCAATGCATAAATCTTTTTCACCATTCGTTAATTTGAACAAAAACACATAATAAACAGCAAGTGCAAGATATTCCAGTGATATGTTATTTAATGATGCATGAATAAGAAAGTGATGTGAGAGATCTTGACTAAAATCAAAACAAACCGATGTTCCACGACCAGTTCGATGTTCATTTGAGAGGCGATATCGATCAAATGGTAGCGATAAAGGTTGATCAAGTTTACAATCATGAAGAGTATCAAGCCAAAACATACTTGCACCAGTCATTGACATTTGTTGTTCGATAACAGCATCTACATAAGTAAAGAAAATAGTATATTAGAAAAGTAGAAGTAGTATTTATATTTACAATCGAGATAACGTAGATTAGTGTTATCATCAGTTATTATTTGATCCGTGGTATATGCTTGATTGAGATCACGAAGAAAGATGTTCATTGATGGAAAATCAAATAGAGCATGATGAAAGTTGAAAATAAGTAGATCTTTGTCAGAAGCAAGATGATTTGAAGAGATTTGTTTGTGATAAATAATATGACATCGAAAGACAAGACCTTGAGCAAGATCAAAAAGATGAGGATTACGTTTCTCGTCATGTAAAATCTCATTTAATTCTTCATCTGTTTCATAAGTAGTTTCGATGATTGAAAATATATTATCATTATTATGTTTATGTTCATGAGTAATAACTCGTTGCATAAGTAGATTCTTTTCGAAGTCAAAATAAAGTGATGTATGAAGTGAGGGATGTTTGTTAACAGTGAGATGAAGAGCATGTCGAAGTTGTTTAACTGATAAAGTATGACCTGGTTGCAGACGATAAACAAAAGGCATATTATAGATTGCTGTTTGAGGCTTGTCTGGGTCGAAGCGAATTCTCTCGTCAAGCCAAATACGAGCTTGTGCAAATGATGTTGGTGCTAGAATGATGAAAGCTTCGTGAATTATAATGTAAAAGAAAGATGATTAAATGGTGATTGGTATAAGTGTTCTAGTCACTTTTCATGTAATCACTTTTGTAACTGAACAGAATCTTGTATTAAGAGTATTAGCTGACTATTTTCTGTTAGTAGTAATAAAAACTAATTTAATACCTCGGAATGGAAAGCCTAACACCGTATGATATCGAATCCTTCTTCAAAAATCGGGGTATATTATTAGCTTTCAGAAAATCCGATAGAACGGTTTTGAAGTGGGACTTTTTATGTGCATTAATAGTACTATGTGATAGTTTTATATTAATGTTTATATAAAAAACACGATTATTTGAGATTATCATTAAACTGGCATTAACATGATGCAAGTACTAACAGCTCTCTCAAAAAAAAGTAAACTTGTTCATTATTACAAGCTCATCTTTTAGAAATGAAACAGCATTGTTTTTTTCTACCGTTAACATAAAAGAACCACGCGATTTTGTGAAATTCCAACAGATAGTATTGGTATTTTCCTATTACAAATACTTAGCTGTCAGTCTCAGCTAATACTATTGTTAGTTGCATATAAATGTTTCTTATTCACTGAATAGATCAAAGTTATTTCTCTAACTCATTTAAATATACTCAAGTATTTGATAAATTTGTCTATAATGATATGACTTATTTATGTATCTATCAATTTTGTCTTCTCTTTTTCTTCCTTTTATACTTCTTTTCATCATGTATTTATATTAAACTGTTTGTGTTATCCAGGTTTTTAATTTAAATGAATGAATAGAAGCTGATGTATTCTGTAATAGAAATCATCCTTGTCTTGTAAGTCCAAATTCTAGTGAGAAGAGAACGTAACCCTGAGAGATTTTTTCCACTTCCTCTTAATGCTGAAAAAGAGAAATGATGTTAGAACAAACCAGAGAACCTCGAGACCACGAGCGAATGAAAAAAGCTCTGCGAAGACTATCATTTTTTTTTACACTTTTATTGTTCGTATGCTACGGATTCACCGTGGTAGTCATGCATATAAGTTACAACTAGTTGTCAACTGACACAATAATCATGCTAAGCAGGACAACGAAAGGAAATTTAGCACGCTATCCTAGGTATGCCATAAAATACTCTGATATTGTATTTTAAAAACAAATAAAAGTCATAACATGTAATTAGGTTTACCAATGAAAGAGAGAATGCGAGTGTCTTTTATTCACCAAAAATTAAAAACAAACACTTCTGCAGCAAAAGTCGGATAAAAACACTTTTCATTAGAAATTTCTTGAACAAAGTCGATAATTTTGCATTGTTTATTTAGTTCCTCATGGAGAGTCCTATAAGATACCTACTGTCGCAAAAGTGCAGACTTTCTCTAGATTTTTAAACATCTTCCCAGCAAAAATTCTAACGAAAAATAGTCTTAAAATGGTTGTTTAAATGAACGTGGTGAATGTTTTGATTCAGGCAAAATATTTACAAACATCAATTCAATTCATGATTCTGAGCTTCCCATGTCTTCAAAATCGCCAAGGTTTGGGCGGCGAATCGCGATTTTTTAAAATATTGACGATTATATCGCCGGTAGGGAATGCTTATTTTGACGGAATCATTACGAATCAACACTTTTCGACAAAAAATCGACAAAAAGTCCTTAATTTTGGCGATTTTATCGCGATAGATCTCACAAGTAATCGGCTTCTATATCGCGTTAAAATCACCAATTTTTTCGGGATTTTTGGTGGCATGAATAGTGCAGTATAAAATGGTGTTAAATTGTCTACCCATGTCGTCAATATCGGGGCAAAATCGACGATTTAATCGCGATTTAGCACCCGATTAATTGTAAGATTTATCGCGATATATCGCGATAGGCCAAGATTTCGATAAAAAGTAGTCGATTAATCGCGGTTTACACATGTCTCTGACTCAACTATTCGTCACGCGATATTTTCAGCTTCATCTCCATCTCCCTCTTAATTTATAGATGATGTTACTGTGACTGTTGTTCCGTTGAACATACTGTTACCTCTATTTCAAATTCAAATAGAGAAAAATACAATTGATATCCTTCTTTCACGTTAGCTGTTCTCTGTCAAATATTGGGCTAAATCAATTCCGAACGGTATCAGTGCTTCGAGTAGTGGATCGCTGATATATTCTCAATGGTGGAGACACCTAACGAACTATCAAATTCGTAGTCGTCAATTCCACCAATATTGAAACCGCCCCTGATTAGATTAGCACTGTCAAGAGAAACTCCGTATCGTCTGAGTTTTTTTTATTTACTTTTTTATCTGAAGTATTATTAACTAAAGCTATTTTACCTCTTTCAAACATTTAAATTATCTCTGAGGTAACAAAGAATATTAGCTCTACTCCAGATCGAACTCCAGACAACTGATGAGCTGAGCCCCACCTAGCACGAAATCCTAGCTCCGCCGCTAAAGTAGATGTTGTAAATATTTACCAGCACTCGAAATCGGATCACCTAATTAAATTAGAGTATCATATTTTTCTGATAAAAAAGAGTAGAACTTTTCGAAAACACCGAAACTTATGTTCTCTATATTCAAAATTGACTAAATGGTATGTGGAATCATATCTAGCAATTAGCACAAAATGTTTCTATTCAGATATATATTTTGTATCTTTTTTTCCAATCTATGGTAAAAAATAATATCTTCATCGATACTTCCAATGCCAGTTGTTCACGCAGATGAACAAACGGTAAAAGTGTGTTTTGATGCATTAGAGGTAAACATAGGACAAGACAACGCTTTATAATGTGTTCATTGTACCAATGAAAAAAAGAAGTTTCAAATTGTTTAACTATTTGTTAAGGAGTTTAAACGTATCAGATAGAGGAACTGGATGATTAAAATGACTTTAACAACGAGATCAGACAATCAGTAATTACAACTAAAATATTCTGTTTGATGTACTCTGTCAGAATACAAAAATGAATTTTGAAATAACGAGACTTAGAGTATGCAAATAAGAAATAGATGAGAATGCATATTTCGCTTTGACTATTCAAAATGGATAAGATATATCGTAATATTTTCAATTAAGAGGATGGAAAAGTAGCAGGCATAGTCGATAGATTTAAAAGAAAACTATATAAAGGATACAAGTAAAAAAACTTTCTTTGCCCATTTACACTAATTGAAGTAGTCTAGCATTAATAAGTGCAACATAATTAATTTCAAATATTAAAGTGTCTACAAAGACATTTTCTAATGAAATTGTTGTCAACGATGCCAATATTCGTATCGTTTATTTCATCATATTTACTGAGAATATATTAATTGAATGTTGATGGTAGTCATCGCTTATATGTACATGTGCTTCAATTGGATATTATCAACACTGTTCTGTATCTCTTTGTCTCATCTTCTTAATTTATAGTATTATCTAATGAAGATAACGTTCATGTCTTTAACTAATCATTGAATAAACTCGCAAAACGATGGAAAAACTATGCAATATTTTCGTCACATCTTCCGATACATGTAACTATCTTAAAAATAGATGAGCGATCTATCTATTCAATTCAACTTGTTATTTAGACGTGTGCTCTAGATTTTTTATCAGTATTTTTATAAAAACTTGCTCGAAAATATCAGAATATGTCTAAAATTAATCAGAAGAAAATATGCTGTTCTCCTATCGCGTTGAATTTGCTTCTACTGATTGTTTATTGGAAAAAACTTTGAGTGACTCGGGTTCCAGTGATATCGTCTTTTTTATCTTCTGTATAATTGCTTAGCTTAAGGGAGCCCAAAATCGCTGACAGAATATTCTTAAACAAAATTCATTGCGATATTTTGATATAAAATGTCAAAGAAATTGAAACTTAATACTTTAACAAGAATAATAAATTTTTATTGTATCAGTATTATCTAATTTTGTTGAATTCTCCCCCAAAATATATTATACAATGGTAATATATTTACAATAAAATGGTGTTTCATCTTCCAAGAAGACTTCTCTAACTGAAATAACTATTAATCATAGAAATTTACAGCAGTGAGAGAAGGAAATAGTTTACGTATCTATGTCTTGCCATCTTACTCTAGTCAAATAGTCTCTCATCTTTTTGTTGATGATTTGACATTAGTCATTAAAGAATCTTTCGAAATTAAATTATCCTAAAACGTCGTATTTTTAGAACGTCAAGCAAAACCAGTTTTACATAATTTAGGAAAGGTTGCTGATGACCACATATAGTCGGTGAACACAGCCAAAACAGAACCTATGATCATTTACAGTGCAGTAGTAGTTTCTAAACCAAAAATAGAATATAAAGGAACTCTAATGGAGTACGTAAAATCTTTCAATTTTTAGGAGTAGAAATCAGTACTAAACTTGGCTGGAATAATGTCATTAACATTTGATTTAAAAAAATTAAAAAATTTTTTAATTGATTAGGAAAATTGTTTCGTACTGTACTAATGAAGAAAATAAAAATGCGTAGGAAACTACTTTCTGCATACGTTATACTATACTTTTTCTGGTTATTTGCTACTTGGTTCTTTTACACAGAAAAAAAACAAGTAATAATAGAACATACTTACTGCTTAGGTATACGATCAACTTACAATCTATCAAGCTGAGATGATCATACTAACCCCCCGCCCCCCATTATAGAAGACCCCTGGTCTTCTATAGTGTCTCCGTATAAAAAATCTAAAAAGGGGTCTTCTAATATGTCTCATATTTTTGCATCATTTTTAATTAAAAAGGTTTTTTAGAAATCTTTCAAGTTTTTAGTACTTTTGAAAGAGATTTTTGGGTTTTTAATAGCCTGGCAATGCTCTTTACGTTGGTTTTAATAGATTTTCAGCTCAAACCCCGAAAATTAGGTTTGTTTGAGCCTGAAAACACTAATTAAAGATCTAATTTATTAAAATATTAATTAATTAAAACGGGGGTCTTCTAATATGTTTTTCAAAACTTTTCGCGAAAGGGGTCTTGTAAAATGGGGGGTCTTTTATTTTGGGGTGGTCTTCTAAACTGGGCGGGGGGGGGGTTTACTCTTGCATTAGCGAGAGAAATCGTATTGAATGATTACATCACAGGCTTCGTAGTCCTCCTATATTTCCTATATTTCCTATATATTTAAAAATGGTCCTATAAATTCCTATTTTACAAGCATTTTTCCTATATTTCCTATATTTAGAAGAAGTCAATTTTTTTCAAATGAAATATATGTTGTTTTGATCAGTAACAACGCAGAGCTTTTGTACATATGCATTTTAAGTTTTACAATAAAACGAAGAGCTACTAGCGATAGTATATCTCTATTTTATAATTTATCAGCATATTCACCATTGGCAAGAATCGCTCTTTTGTTTCAAATTGTTTTATAGAAAATGACTAATTTTTATAATTTTTGTAATGAATTTCGTGTAAGATTTCACTTATCAATTATACTTATTTTCAGGAATAGTGTTAAGTTATTTTTTGGACTAATGAGCACGGGTTAGCGTTACGGAATTTCGAAAATGGACAAAACTTTGAGAGAAGACTCAGATTTTAACATTCTCCTTCGAAACTAACCGACTCATAAATGAATATTCTATACAAAAGTTGTTCAGTTTTTCACAAGCTCTTAGAATATCATGTTGTTCTCACTATAAAACAATCCGTTCGAATAAGGCGACTTAAAAGATTGAGTGTTACGGAATTTTACTAATTTTCTCTTTTTCCACGGAGAACAGTTTAGTGCCATTTTTTTGATAGTTTTAACTATGAAATCTAACTTCTTTATTCTTTGACGATTAAGAATATTGTTTTCTATAAATTCATTACTTTATTTTTATTTTATTTTCAAACTTTCATTGAAAATTTCACTCATTATGTTGACAAAAATAAAAAGTTAAAAAATAAAAAAACAGCGAAATTTCGTAAGTATTCACGTTTTTAAACTCGTAAGAAAGACAAATAATATTGGTTTTATATGTCAGCTGAGTAACTCGGAATGCAGAACAAACTTATTAATATTTCAAGATTATACTCTCTGTAAAAGAAATTTCTGTAAATTGCTGATTTTAAACCTTCTCCAGCGAAGGAGACCGTTAGCTGGTCGTGCCCCAATTCTGTTTTAAATAACATTTGTTTGAAGATATAACTTAATCCCACGGAACACTAAATTCAATCTGGCATGGTGTTAGTGTGACGCGGGTGGAGAAATACTCATACTGCGATCAACCGACACCTACATCCACACTTAAATCCTGTTTCTTTTTTATATTGTTTTCATAAGGATATTAGTCAACAGTTGTTAACAAATACAACCGAGATCACACTTTCTTTTAATAATTTTCAAATAGAACTTTTTGAATATCATCTCCAGTAATTAAAAAGTGTATATTTGTTCTCGATTTCTTGGCAACTTCGAGTGAGATAACTAGTTATGATGTTACGGACACTATAACGTTTAGCATGAGTCTATTAAAAGCTTATTATTGAAGAAAAAAATTCCTATATATTTCCTATATTATTATCGAAATCCTATATAAATACCACTTTTAAAATCCTATATTTTCCTATATCTTCAGAAGAGATCGCTACGAAGCCTGGTTAAGTATTTTGTGCTCATTCGAACTATGTTATTGGTCGCGACTTATATTATACTTTTTCTAATTAAAATTTGTCAGATATTTATCGAAGATGAAAAAAGATTGTGGTTAAATAAAGTTCGCGCTTTTATAGTTAACAAAGTTCATTTCAAAAAAGATTGAAAAGTATGGGATCTGCTGACCATACTTTCAAGCTTTTCGAATCAATGAAAACCCCATTTTGTTTTTTTCCTTTCTCAAGATATTGAGAAAACAATGAAGAGAGGTGAGATAACACAACTGCATTATGCTCATGCTCTTTTCGAACAATATCTGCTTCATGACTCAACAACACTAGACTCATTCGACCTAGCATTTTTATCAGAGGTAGATAATGAGATGGACAGTTGAGTGGCACAGTTTTTCATTCGATATATTGTGTGTATGGACAAATTTACAGCGCCCTCTCTTTCATGTATAAAATACTCATTTATGACACAAAAGTAAATCTGAATTCTTCTAAAATATCCTTATTTTGTTATCAGACGATTCTCTGTGAGATTATGTATTAGTTAAGTCATGAATATACGAAAAACAAAGTTAGCCAAAGGATGATTCTTATTCATCCTGGTCCTTTGGCAGTTTTTATTGTATTTCTGAAGAGAGATACTATTCAACAAATCTTTCTACATTATATATTCCAAGTAGTTACTGTAATATTTTTCTAAAACATTTTCGACGGCTGGCTTCTGACTGACCCGATTGATATAGAAACATATCTATAGCGATACTTTGCATCAGGTACTGATTATCGATAGACATTTTAACTATAAAAAACCTCATATCTAGATAAACATACCTTCATTCACTATATGTAACTGTCGACAAAAGATAATATCTTCCATTTCTTGACTTTCTTCTGGTAGAATAAGGTTAATTTTTGATACAGATGTAAAACATGTATCAATTCGATTGATAGTTTCATTTGGTGAGAAAAGTTGTTGAAAACAATATTCTAATCTTCGACCTATATTTGTAACTGTAATTTCATCAAATAAATCATGTGAACAAGTTAAATGAAATGATAATCTCTTGTTTTCCAATATTGGATTATAGATAAATGTTAACATAAACTCAAACTTAGCTACTTCAAACGATCGTTCTAATGACACCTGTTTGAGACTTGCTCCGTCCAAAGATAATTCATCGCTCTGTGACGATATTGTTATAAAATCAAACATAGTTTCGAGAAATGAAATATTTGATTGATTAATATGTATATTAGCAAGAATATGTTGAAGTGGATAATGAGAATGTTCAAGAATTGATAAACATTTCTCTCGCACATATTTAACAAGATCATCAAATGACCATCGAGGATCAATTTGAATACGATATGGTAATGTTGAAACAAACATTCCCATTATATTCTGCAGTTCAGTTCTGTATCGATTGGCATTAAGACATGAAACACATAAATCATTTTCACCATGACTTAACTTGAAAAGAAAAGCATATAATATACCCAGACCTAACTGAAATGGTGTCACATGATGTATAGAAGCATAATCAAGAAATGATTGTGAAATCTCGTTCTCAAAGGAGATTTGAGTGACACAAGCAGAACTCGATCGATGATCGTTAGATAAACGATGTCGATCAGATGGTAATGATAATCGAGCTTTCAAATTATATTCTTCTAATTGTAAGTACCAAAATTGACGAGATGTTGTCATATCGATTAGACGTTCATGTACGCTATAATCAATATATTGCAATGATTCATCATCATCATCTTCTGTTGATGTTGCACTAGTATTATAAGCTAAGCATAGATCATTGAAAAAGATTGAACGACTTGCTCGATCAAATGCTGCATGATGAAAAGCAATGAGAAGAACATCTGAATTAGTTATGAATTCATTACTATTATTTTCATTTTCATTTAATGATATTTGATGTTTTAGTATTTCAGCATGAAAAGCATGACCAGTAGATAAATCGAAGAGATTAGGATTAATAGTTGTTCGATAAATAATGTCTTGAAGTTCATTTTCATTTCCAAATGTTTGATTCATAGTTATTGTGAATGTTTTATGTATATCTGTAATGCATTGCGTCAAACTACTATTATCATTGTTTAACATAAGAGATGTACGTAATATTTTATGTTTATTCAAAACATATCGAAATGCTTGTAGTAAACGATCGGATGATAATGATCCTTGAACAACTTCTAAGGTAAACAGTTCATTATAGATAGCTATATCACTCGAAAAACGAATTTGTTCATCGAGAAAGATCCGCTCTTGAGAAAAAGAGGCCATACCTGTCAATTAAACAATAGAAATTATTTTAATAAGCTCTTAGTAAATATTTTTACTTTGATTTATATATAACGTTTGCCATTGTGTTGCCTTGATCTCATTCACTATAACTGTTTGAAGTAATTGTGAATGTTGAAATATAGTTGGTTGTTGAAGAAATGGGGCGATCGAAAGTGAATGAGCATCAAAGTTAAATACTGACTGATAATGATGATAAAGTTCAATAAATAACAGTGAGTGACCACCAACACTAAAAAAGCTGGTAGTTCTAGAAATGTGATTCTCATTACAATGAAGAACTTGACACCAAATAGTGTGTATACGTTCTTCGAACTGATTCAGAAGAGCATCAGATTCATCGGACGATAACAAAGTCGATAAAGAGAATTCGGGTGAAGGAAGTTGCTTTCGATCTACTTTTCCATTTTGATTCAAAGGTAATTTATCAAGTATAACGAATATGGATGGAATCATATGTGGTGGAAGATGAGATCGGCAATGTTGACGTAGTTCTTCTTCATTCATATGAGAAGAAGATTGAACATATGCAACCAGATAATCATCATTCCATTTCATGACAACACAAGCAGAGATGGATGTAATGCTAAGTAAACATCGTTCGATTTCACCAAGTTCAATTCGTTGTCCATGTAGTTTGATTTGATGATCTTTTCTTCCTTGATAATGAAGAAGACCATTGTTATCGATTGTGACAAGATCACCTGTTCGATAAAATAGTTGACCATCAATTTCAAGAAGAGCTTTTGCAGTTAAATCATCACGTCCAAGATAACCAGCAAAGACACCTACTCCACCCACAAACAGTTCACCTTCTTCAGTGGTGGTAGATGGTTGTAAATATTGATTCATAATTATAGAACGGTAATTAGAAAGTGGTGTACCAATTCGAATGTTCTGTATATCAATTCTGACGTCCACGTGACGAACTGTACAATCTATGGTTGCTTCAGCTGGCCCGTACAAATTCCATACAATACAGTTTGTTAAATCGATTTTCACAATCAAATCAATTAAAGAAACAGAAAAAGGTTCACCTACAACAATAAAACTACACTAGATAAACGAAAACAAATTGGTTTGAAAGTTCCTCACCACTGCTACAAACTGATCGAAGATGTTGCAAGACATTCCGCTTGTTATTTTGCTCTACAGAAATAAAAAAACTGTGTAGTAGACTTGGAACAGTGTGTAGATATGTGATCTGTTTGTTTTGTAAGACATCGGATAAATAATCAAAATCAATTGTTCCACCTGGATGAAGCATAATTAACGTGCCTCCAACTAACAACGTACCAAGTATTTCTTGAACATGAATGTCAAATGAACATCGTGTCATTTGTACAATTGTATCATCTTTATTAAATGAGTTTATATAAATCAAAGAATGCACACAATCAATAAAGTTCTTATGTCGAACTTGAACCTATAAAATAGAATGAAAATCACTCTCAAACTAGAAAACTCAGTGCGAACGAACCGCTTTGGGTGTTCCAGTTGAACCACTAGTGAAAATAATGTAAGATATCTCTTCACCGTTCACTATCAAACTTGAAAGACTTTTCTTCTCTATATCGTTAATATTTAATATCGAATCAATATTAAGTGAAACAAGGCCATGATCGAATTTCATCGTAGTTAGATAATGAACAAGAACAAGGCGACTTTGTGTCTGTTGTGTGAGTGTATGCAAACGATGTTGTGGATCCCGAGGCGATAATGGACAATAAACACCACCAGCCATCTCAATTGCCATTATACCAATCACCTAGGTCAAACGAATTTTTCATTATCTTAAACAGTTATTTCTTCAATGGACTTACCATTGATAAACTTCGTTCAACACATTGACATACGACCTCACCTGGAAACACATGATATTCATTAACAAGAGTTAAAGATAATACTTGAACATAATATAACAGTTCACAATATGTCAATGATTGTTCATCGAGTTCAACAGCTAGTTTTTTGTGGATGTTTCATTACTTGATATACAAACTCATGATGAATAC